GCCAACGGATCAAAACAAGTCTGTTAAAAAAACGCAGAGAGAGAGAAAGAGAGACAATTTGAACGTAATTCCATTGTTATCCTCCATGTTTCAGTTGAAATCCTCAAATACGAATAAACAAACAAACAAGCCAGCGTCAAATATTAATGATAATATAATAAAACGTTCTATTTTAAAAATTGATTTTTGGTTTTCTAAATAAACATTTCGAGTTCATGTATATCTCATATTATGAGACACATATTATACATTTTGGCTAATAAAATAAAATACTGAAATGTGAATCAAGAGAGCTGTTTACGGCGAAATCATCTAAAAAAATGTCGAAAAAAAGGGGGAAACATTGTTACACATGATAAAAGAACCACTCCAACATTCTTAACAATGCATACCAATCGAACGAAATAAATTTTATTTGTATATTGCCCACTCGATCAAAAAGTCATTCCAGAAAACAATGCGTACTATGATGCAAATTGAGCGAGCAAGAGACGAATAGAGAAAGAGAGTTACGAGAACAACTAAATACACATATAGTGAGTGCGTTGTATTTGTCTCCAACTATCACACCGGAAATATAATTTTTGCTTGGTTAAACGGTCTTTTTCATGCTCACTGAACATTTAATAAACGTAACCCCAATTAACAACGTTCAACATAAATTTCGACTGTCAATCGCATTTTCTATCTCTTTGTATTTATTCTCACACTCTATTCGCTCTCTTTCTCCTCTCATTTCTATCTGTCTTTCGGAAATTCGATTTTTTTTTCTATGCAGATATGTGTTGTGATCAATGTTCTTGCTCTTGTTTCAACATAAATTTCAAAAAAAAAAAAAATATTTACAAAACATAAAACGAGACATTTTGTACATCAAAGGCGTAAATAGTTTTGGATTGAAATCTATACTGCCTTTGAAATTCTGTGGTGGTGATGATGATGATGAAAAGACAAAAAATGATATTATCTTGAAAAAAAAAATCATGAATTTTCTAGCACTTTGATCAAATAAATCTGACATATTTGTAAAATTCCAGTGTTTTTAACTCTATTTAAAAGAATAATTAATTTTCTATTGTAAAATGTATCTTCTTTGACACAATTGGCGACCGACTTCAGAAAAATGTATCGGAACTCTAAAGTAAACACTAAAACTTGATAACTTTGCTTCAATCAACTTAAAATAAATAATACCTTTGTGAAACCAAATAACTAATACTCATTTTCATGGTCTTTAAAAAAAAATTGGTTTTGCATACCATTTTTTTTTGGTATTTTGTTTTGTTGCTTTGTCGCGTATTTATTTTCGTGCAATTCAAAAATCCTTAGCTTAAATTCAAGGTCATAAAAGCACTTTTACTGATCAATATTCTGGTTTTTGTTTCTGCGCCGAAAAATGCACACAAACATTTGTCATTTATTACAATTGACATCAGTACATTTTGATATGCAGCATTGAAATGCAATGTTGATGAGCATGCAATGGAAATCATTTCATTTGGTTTGAAAATGAAATTTCAAGTGTTTGAGTACATTTGTAAATATTGTTCATCAAACAATAGATGGGCCTTAATACTGTGAGAAAAAATGACTTGAGCAAATAGTGGTAAAACTTACTACCAACTCTTCGCTTATCTAAATCCATGTTGGAACGTACATAACATGCGAAACTCCACCCATCGTCTTGAAACAAAAGTTTTCTTGTGTGCGCGCGTGTGGAATGAATGAAGGGAAAAAGGGTATACCAACTCGAGTTTTTGTTGTGGTTGTTGCAACTATTGCTGTTTTCATGATAAACGTTAGAAGATTTTGGCCAAATAAACACTTGTACATATTAAATTTATTCATATGCTGAAGACAGAATAGCTAAATATGAAATATTAAAATGCATATATCAATATAGAATAATCAAATCGTGATTCGAGCATATATTTTTTCGTCGAAAGCGATTATTCATTTGTAAATTGGGTTTTATGAATCAATTTTAAATCTGCAAACAGGATTATAACTAGTCCAATAATGCTTTATGGAACTGTCTGATTAGACATTTTCGGTTCATTTGGTTTTTTCGATCATTTTTTTCTCTCTCGTCATCTTCGTCTTCAATTTAATCCGTACATTTATTTGAATATTATTCCATGGTTCCGTTGTTGTGCCAAAAAGAATTGACCAAATGAGGTGATTTTAATCTTCTCAATTCAATTAGCTTTTTAGTAGTTAATATTTCGGTATTTTACATTCTTATTCTTCAAATATGACACGTGCTACGAAACGGAAAACATTATATACGACGATAAGATTTTTATTGATGAGAAAATTCAGACTTTTTTTCTATATATATAAATTCGACATAAATGTCATGAAAATTGGTAATTGTGAAACTTTCTCGAGACGCGACAAAAAAAAAATATATATATTCATGTCGGACACCCTGGTGTTTAGAGAAATTTTTTGTTCCTTTAAAAATAATCAATAACCAATCTAATTTGAGTTGAAAAGTGTATTCTTGAATTGCATATGCCGGTATATTTATAATCGTTGAATGTGTGAAGAGAAAAAAAATTTGGTGACGCGTGTTCTGTTTCACGTTCATTTTTCCATGCATTTATGATCCACTCAAACAGAGAGAGAGAGAGAGAGAGAGAGAGAGAGAGAGAGAGAGAGTGACAGAGACGAAGACGGTGAGGGGAGCGAGAACGAGAAAGCACTGAATCAATGTAGAAGTGCAGAAATTAAGTTAAAGTGCGATTAACATGTGTCCGAATTGCCCATTCGCATTTAATTGGTTTGATGGCTGATTTCACATTGCGAATGGCAAAGAAAATGCAAATATAAGCGCTTTCCACGATATATTCGAAGTTTATTTACACCAAAGATAATAAACGCAGCATTGATACTTTGGTGACAATGTAACCACCGATAATAGCTTTGAGCATATATACTTATAAACATACACAGGCACACACACACACACACACACACACACACACATACGTTTTTACAAAAAAGAACCACGTTAAAAACCATCGATTGTGTGTAAATTGTCAGTGCGTGTTTTTGCTCTCTTCTTTAAAATGTAAATAAGTCCAGTAAAAAAAATTTCAGTGCGTTTTAATTTGAAGAAAAAACAATAAATAGATTTCATGAACGTACATTATTCAAAGAGATTTCCTAAGCACATTTTCGACGAGTAAGTGTGTTAATTGAACTTCGGTCTAAAGTTTTCTCTTGATGGCGATGAAATTCGAAAAAGAAATATAAACGATGCCATTTTACCACATTGATATTGGATAATTAAATAGGTACTGAGATTATCAACCAATTTCAGGCACATAACCAGGCATGTGGCTCAACACATTCATTCATTCACTATTCAAACCAAATCGTTGTTTACTTTTTATTTTATTTTTGGAACTACTAAATTCATTGATGGCTATTCGCTCGGCCAAATTAATCGGATTTTCAAGCAAATTTTGCATTCAAGTTTCAAAATCGCGTTTCATTCTGGTCAGATATTTGTATACGTGTATATATATGTGTGTGTGTGCCGGACCATTTATTCAAGCTTATCAGTTTATGTGTATAGAAAAGCAGAAGACTAACGCCTTATCTAGCCTTTAAACAACGACATTACTTTTTATTCTTTTGCTCTTTTTTTTCTCTCTCTGGCTATCTTTCAGTTTGTCTCGTTTCGTTCGTCATTGTATTCTCTCTCTCCCTCTCTCTCAACTTCATTGGCACTTATTTTATTTTATTTTTTTGATCGCCGTTGAAGACCACCAAACCAGAACCACATTGTACATTGTGTTTCCTCAAATAATATTAATAAAACAGATAAATAAAAATTTATTTGGTCTTTCCTCTTGAAACCGATTTATTTTTCTACGGTTTTCGTCGATATGTGTTTTTTTTCTTCTTTTAATTTCTTCGCACTTTTTTATTTACTCACAAGAAGAGACACATTTGAGAGTAAAAGATGCTGTTGTGATGCTGAATGGACACAAACGACAAAACAAATGGAAAGAAGAGTGACAAAAACGAAAAAAAAGAAGAAGGAAAGAAATGTGGAACGCAAAGCAGCATCTTAGGCCTCTCATAAAGTTTTTAGTGTATTTACGATGCTCTTGTGTTACATTTGTGTATACCAAAAAAAAAACTCTTCTTTTATTTTTTATATAGATATATGTATATACATATCGGTTTCTCTCTCTCCCTCTGCATTATACATTCTTTTGATACATCTCATGTGTTTGTAAATTAGTAAGTGTCATTTCATCTCTTTTTTAACTCCTAAAGGTGTCATGTTTCGTGTTTAATTTACATTTTATAGTTATAGTTATCTTTAATTTGATATTTGATGTTCGGGTTTTTCAATTTCAAATTGGATATATTTCTGCCGATATATATCCGCTCTTCTTAGCATTCGATTTGACTACGTGAACTTGGACATACTCAAAGATCAATTTTGAATATATAGAATTCCATAAGAATGAAACGAGAGCTGTAAAAGAGCGAACACCATACTCAATTTGAAAATAATATTTCTCGAATCAGACAAAACAGAGATAGAACTGGAGGGAGGGAGAGAGAGAGAGAGAGAGAATGACGAAATTAGAGTAGATCAGACACCCAAGGATACAAACGACGATGACCACAAGGAAGACGACCACGACACATAGAGCGACTGAATGAGAGCGCATAAGACGAGACAAGCCGGGACATTTCTTCGGCTCAATGAAAACACATCTTGGATCTAATCGTAATGCAATAATAGATAATTTGAGTATTCGAATCAGAACATACTTTTAAAGCGCCCCATGTGAATGTGCTGACAAAGCACATGGAACAAAATAGAAGAACCAGTTCATTGATGAGTTCTTTTCTTGTTTCTTCGTCATTCATTGATAATAAAGCACATACTCTACATAGTTGACACTTTTTAATTGTTAAAAACGATCCAATAAAATGTACATATAAAAAAAATACCGATAGTCACATACCTGCATTACCCAAAAGTTTGCTGATGGCACAATTTGATCACCTATTGTATCCATATAATACATTTGAACGATATCTTGCACAGAAGAAGTGATTCACATAAGAAGGTTTCGATTGACTATTGTACAACGGCTGACTTTGGTCGTGTTTCTTTCCTTTTTTTCTGTAAATTTTTTGTTAATCATGGATTGCATACAGTTTATTTTTTTTTCTTCTGCTTAGCTTGTCGTTTTGATTTCTTTTTTGTTGTTGTTGTTAAATAACACACAGAGATTTTGCAATCTGTGCTGAAATGTTCCTTGCTGGTTGCGACTTAGTGATATTGCAACATTCGATGAAAATGCACCGTACAAATTCGTAAAAAAAAAGATTGAATCTGGTTTGTTTTTTTCTTTTTCGTTTACATTTTATTCAATTTATCAGCGGGTGTATGAAATCGAGATTAATATTTGGTTTACAACATATGCATTTTGGTTTGCATTACTAATTTGTCCATATTTCGATCAAGTCTTTTTATTTCTGTTTTAATAGATGACAAATGACGTTTAATTTTCAGGATAAATATGAAACTTTCACTGATCGGCAAAAAAATGTACTGTTTTGTTGTTGTATGTTCTCGCTTTCAATTGTGTTATCACAGAAAAGAACAATTTACAAAAATGTTAATAACAATCTCACTTATCAATGGCATTAGCGGCATTTCGATCGATCGATCGATCAACATGATCAAAACCACATAACTTTCAAACTGATGTTTTTATTTCTTTTAAAAAAACGAGCGGTTAAATGAACTTAAATCAATGTTTTTTTTTTTTTGTCAATTGCGTAAACATCAAATTTTGCATCATTCATTTGAATTTGGTATTTAAAGATTCAAATGGAAACAAAAGTGTAAAGCGAAAAAAAAAATGCAACGAATGTGCAACGAGTGTTATTTTATTTGAAAATTCGATTGAAAGAATCGATTCCGACGATCCAAGCGGACGATGTCAGCGCAGCTCACTCCGATGTGTACACACAGTGTGTTCACTTATGAATGGTTTAAACGTAACTAACTATATAACTAGATTAAAGAAACCAAGCGCGCGATCCACTGCGAATGAGGTAATAATACGTGAAATAATGATAGCAACGATACTCACACCGCACACCACACAACACACGATGAATATTCTTCTTGGTATTCGTATTCTGATTGTATACAACCATTGAGACATTATAGCAGCGAGCGTGCAGCGCAATGGGCAAGAGCAAGAGCCCAGATGAAAAGCATAACCGTAACGGTTCCGATATTTTTCATATGCTTTGTATGCGCGCATTTACGTGTTCACGTATTCTTGTCGCGCGAGTAGTGTGTGCCTGAGCCTGCAAAAGAACGAATGAAAGACAACGACGATGAAAAAAAAAAAACGAAATTTCATTTGTACGTTGGTTCTTTTTGGTGAATGAGTGTGTGTATGAGTATGAGCGTTCGCGCTCGCGCTCATGTCTCTTTACATTTGTATGTGATCTACCGATGTTTACTTTACTGCCAGTGTTTCTTTAAATGACACAAGATAAACTAGGTATTCACCTATGTTCTTTGCTTTCGGATTTTTTTTTCTCTACATACATTGTTGTTGTTGCCATTTTTTTGCCTTCTATCTCTTTTCTTTTTGGCTATCTACCATCGACACGATGGAAATGCAAAGGGAAAAAAGGTGAGATATTCACAAAATATACACGAACGAATAAAAAAAAATATATATATATACGACAACAACGATATATTGCGCCAAATTGATCGTGTATTCATAAATATGAACGGAACATACGAGAAATGCCATGATATAAAATTCTATGAATGAACGCTTTCAGTTTTACAACAAAGAAGAAAGAGAGAAGGAAAAAATGGAACGGTTTTCGGTGTAAAAATCACATACGTATCAATTAATTTTTGGCCAAATAGAACGAAATAACAGTAGCAAATGGTTTTTGAACTTTGACAAGAAAACACAAAGAGAGAGAGAGAGAGAGAGAGATAGAGAGTGCGAGAGAGATAAAGAAAGAAAAAATGCTTTTGTGAAAATGAAAAAATCTCCCCAGTGGTAAAAGCATAATATGCACAACATACCAATGTGTCGGAGTATGAATGAATGAATGAATGAAAAGAAGAAGTACAAAAAAACATGCTATAACAACAAGAACAAGAAAAACGAACAGCAAAATAACAAGTCGACGTCGAGATGAAGCGCGCGCATGGCACACGTTCAAGATGAATAGCCAACATGCCTTTGATCGATATGCAAAATATTCTTCAATCACAACCATCCACGTTTCAATGTTATAATTTATCAATTATTATCCAATAACAAAATTGAGATTGAAATTGTTAAATATAGTACGTAATAAATACAATTTCAATAAAATACGCTCCAGGAGTTAGACACATTCTGATTTATCAGTTAGACATATTTAATTCATTTGTATTTCTCGTAAATTCAAAAATTACGCTTTTTTTCTCTTCAATATCTTCAGTTGACACCGAACGTAATAATAAATGTATACGACAATTATTGATTACCTTGCACAGCTAAAAGATTCGATTTACGATAATCATTTGCCCCATCGCACCAATGTAATCATGTTATTCACATATTGTTGTGTGGTTGACGAATTCTTTGAACTGATTCAATTTTGCGTATAATTATTATTTATATATCTTTATGTTGTGAATAGTTCTTCTTTTATTCTTGTTTCAATTTCACTTGAATTCAATCAAAAATTCATTTAATTTTCGATACGCTTCCTTTTGTGCGATACGCATACAATATTTCTTTTCAAATAATTACATTGTACCTATTGTTAGTGAAAATTGGGCATACACAAACGAGTGATTCTTAGTATCTCAGCACCGTCATTCGTTTTATTCAATTTTTACCGTCATTTCATGTGATTGTCATCTTTTATTATTATTAAGAAAAGGTACACAGAGGAAATAAAACGCACAATCAACACCATCTCAACCCACAAGAAACAATTGTCCAAGCGAATAAGTTTGCTTATGTCACTTGTGCCAGTGTGTTGGTAATTAAAATGATTCGCTAATTTATATGGGATTTGTTTGAAAAAAAAATTCGACAAGGCATGTACACTGAAAGAGGTCGTTGAATTCTTATAACTTTTGCCGCATGATCTGCAACAAGAAATGGTTGAAAATGACCGAGATTCCTCTGTTCTCTTTGAGTACATCTTTTTCTCTGTTCATTTTGTCAAACAAAACAAGTGCTATACGCTTATGATGAGTCAACATTTCACAGTTTTTACGTGCAAACTCATGACATCCGTTACCATATGTAAATACCAAAAATATCCCATCGTATTTTCTCACGCAATTGATATTATTAATAATTATGTATGATATAGCACATAATAGTGTCACATGGCGGCACAGTATTGATTTTATATCAAATTTACGGTCAAACCATTGACTAGACCGATCCAAATTAATTGACTGAAATCACCCTTTGAGCTTGAACGAAAATCGATTTAAAAAAAAATACAAATGATAATATTTCGTCCAAATCACGGACATTTTTCTTTTCGGTAAAGTCTATTACTTGTTTTGGGAAACTATTGAGTGATTTTTATTTTTTTTTTTGAATTATTGCAAAAAATAAGGGAACATCCTACTCTCATTCAATTCCAATTTGAATATTTTTCAATTCAAAGCTATAACCTTTCTTCAATATTATATAAACATCATAGAATATGTAAAAAATCGATTGATTAAAAATGATCGTTGCTTCGAACAAGATACCATTGCTTTCGATCACTTCAAAACAAATTCAAGTTGATTGTTTTGCATTATGAATCATAATTTTCAAGTGATGAACAATTGACTTTCTTTCATTATCGATTTTAAAGTGTTCTCTCTTTCTAAAACGGTTAGGTAAAATTACAATTGGTAATACCAAATAGGTAACAAATTTGAATTACATTGTTGCAAACTATGTGTGACAAGATAATTGAACTTTCCAAATTATGGTTTGTAATTTCGCTTGAAGATTAAAGTGACGCTCTTTTTGTCGCGCTCTAATTTGCATGTTGTTAATGTGTTTGCTATGGTGCGGGTGCTTATGTTGTTATGAACGTTTGTTTCATCAACAACAATAAAAAAAAAATCAATGTGAAGCTCCTAAATGAAGATTTTTGACGATTATTCACGTTCGATATCAGTGTGTTATATGTGAGCTTAATATTAACTTGAAATTGAAATTATTTTTTTTTTCTTTTCAACATTCCTTTGGACTGAATGACAATTCTCCGAATATATGATTCCACTGAGTAATCAAATGAAAATTGAAGTAATTTGAAACGCTTATATCGCAAAGTGTCTCAATAAAAACAATCTAATTCCTCTGTGACTATATGATATAGTCTATAGAATTAAATTGAAAAAAGCTAGAAGCCTTCGGCTTTTACCCATTTAAAAGCGATTGTTATCAGAATTGTGTTTAAAAAAGCGTAAATCTCTATAATTTCTGATTCATTTAGACCTTGTCGAACAATGAAGAAGAGAATCAGCGCACCGATTAAATGAATGTATACATAGAATTGGACTTGCTCCCTCACACTATTGTTCCTCTCATCTGTCGAGACAAAATTGATGGATTAGCTGAGATATATAATATTGATAAAACCGATATAGGTCTGTCATATGCGCAGTTAAAAACAAATGTTTTCGACTCCACTCAGAGCAAATAAAAAATGTTTGCAAGCAAAATTGTTTTATATTACTTATTTTTCCATTTGCGTTTTATATTTAAATGATGGTCTTTGGTGACTGAGTTCCATTTTTTGATCGTTTTTATATCCTTTGCGGTTAAAATGATAATTAATCACTTTTTTTTTTCGCATACAAATTGAAATTTAATTAAAAAAGAAACACTCTGAATCGATAGCGAAAAAAAACCATGTCCATTTTATGTTTAAACTGTCCAAAAATGTGAACGAATCAAAGTTCATTTTTCTCTTCCATTCCATTCCATTTGATTTTGGGGAGGCTTCTATACAATTTTTCATTCGATAAAAAAAATCAAATAGCAATTTAATGTAATTGTTTATACATGCATACACATGCACAGTAGCATAACGCTCGAATTATTATCAAACAACAATCGACCGATACAGCGTACAATTTTGTTTCTTACTATTGGATGAATGCCAACCAATAGAAATTTAATATCGTGCAGAGCATATCGTTGTCTCACTTCAACTAAAACACGCTTACCGATCAAACCGATCCGCTCAGACATTCGGTCGTATGTATGCCGTTTTGAATCGGTAACACCGACTCGCTAGTTTCGTTGCGCTCGAGGTGGTGTTACTAGTTAGTAGATATGTCATTTGACGCAACTGGAGTGTGAACATGCTGCTAGCATTTTTGGGCGTATTTTATGATGTTTTGCCTGTTTATCGGTAATTATAGTGTACGAGAAAAAACATTTATGATGATTATTTTCGCCGAAATAATTTATCCATTGCATATAAGATTATTATAATCGCCGTGTCTTTTTTGGGGAGTATTTCAATTTTTTTTTTTTATTTATTTTGCCATATTTCATTGTGAACAACAAAAGATAACACCGAAGAAAGGAAATGTACATATATATCAAGACAAAAATTATGTGGGGATAGAAACATGCAGAGTGAGCCATCTATGTGCGACAATGAAGGCTTTCGTTGGAGCTTTAGTGCTTACACAAGCAAACACTTTTTATTCACCGTTTTACAGTAGCTTTTGTGTATATAAGTTCATACAAGTTCCGTAGAATTTTTTTAATTTAGTAATTTCAATTTGAAATGAAAAAAAAAAAATTAGTTTTTAGGAGATATTTAAAAAAAAAAAATTAGAAAATGTCATTACCATGGTTCTTGTTCAGTTCGGACAAAAATTGAAAAATTTAAATCACCACAAAAACCGTACTTTGTTATCCGTCACAATAACGCCCATAGTTATGCAATTTTGTGCAACCATGCTTCTTTATCCCAAGTAGTTTGGTGACCACTTCTGCAAATATTTAGATACATTAAAATAATTTTAAAATTATTTTGCCATAAGATAAAAAAATATCTATTGTGATTATACAAATTTCAGCCAATTATCCTGCTTTAATCTAATTCGAATGAAAGGAAGACGCGGAATGTAATACGTCTACTGGTATTGTTTACATGGTAAATATTGTTCAGTGGGTCATGCAGTTCAATGTTTAGTTTTGGCGCGAAGTGAAATGTCATTGTCAACAAGTCGGATCGGCAAAATATGTCTTACAAATAATAATAGTTTTTGTCGTTCAACTAGAGTTATAACAAATTGAATTTATTTTATTACATTGACCACAGTTTTGATAGCAAAAAATCTACAATCATGTCGATTATGTTAGCAGATATTGATGCGACTTGTGCATCGTTAGGTTATTATGATGGTAAAAAATATGTGGCAGAACCAGATGCACTGCAAGGATTAAAGGTAATTTCGTGTTGTTGAACTTGGTTGTGAGCATTTTAATATCGTCCATTTGTTTCTTTCAGCATTTGATTTGGGTGTTGCGTCGCGATGGTGATACACATGAATATCGGCGACATTTGGGCCATGGACAAGTATTACAAACTGATTTAATACCAATGCTAACCGAACAAACCGAAGAGAATGAAATGTCTGATGTACTACTGCGATTGTTGGTCAACCTAACCACACCAGCGCTGCTTCTTTACAATGAAACTCTTCCAAAAGACGGTCCAAATCGACGGAATTTCTTACATTTGCTTGAAATCTTACAATCATTCAAAGCGGCCTTTTCCACACCAACTGTTTGGACATCATTACGTAAACGACTTCAAAAAGTCTTGGAAATTGTAAGCAAAATTGACCATTGAATCCGTCAATGTGTGTGTGTGTGAAAAAGACTAAAATGAAATCAAATGAATGCTTTCTTTTAGGATTCGGCTGAACGTACCGAGGAAAAAGGGTTATTAGTGGAACGAGTATTAGTATTGATTCGTAATGTGTTGCATGTTCCATCGAATCCAGACGTTGAACGTCGCGCTGACAGCGATGCCAGTTTACACGATCAAGTCCTATGGGGATTACAACAGGCCGGTATTCTTGATTTGATTTTATATATCATCGGATCGGAGTATGAAAATCAATATCATTTACATGTTATGGAAATCATATGTCTGATGTATCGAGAACAAGTGAGTCACACTGAATTAAATGTGAAAAAATTCGTTGAATAATGCAATTTATTTGATTTTCATTTTAGATGGCCGAATCGCTGGCAGATGTATCATTACAACGTAGTGAAGCAGAAAAATGTCGTGACGAACAGGAATTGATATCAGTTCGAAAGCGTGAACGTGCCAAAGTCGCGATGAAACCACCGACGGGGCGACATTCACGTTTTGGTGGTACATACACTATACAAAATATGAAATCCATCTCCGACAGAGACATCATTTGCCACAAACCATTGGGCAGAGCGGTTGCTATGGACTTTGATCGTGATAAAAACAAGCAAAAGAGATCACATCGTATTGCTAAAGACGAGGCGACGTTTGAACGACGCAGTGCACTTTCGATTAGGTAGAATATGAGTGACAGACATCCCAAGCAATTGTTCAAAATGACATTTTTGTTTTTGTATTTAGATTATTTTTGCGTCAATTTGCAATTGAAATATTGCAATCAGCCTTCAATAATATGGTTCGACAAGTGAGACGAACACTTGATCGAGGCGTTTCTGGCAACGATGATTCCTATTTGCTGTGGATTATTCGATTTTTCTTGGAATTTAATCGATTGAGCACATTCAAGTTGCCATTAGTGAGGTGAGCATAATTTCATGTGACACATTTAAGATGCCTTTTCCGCCTCGTCTTCAAATAATTTCAATTCGTGTGTTATGTATTCAATATTTAGCGAAGCTTTGAGTACACAAAATTTCCATTGGGTTTTGGGACGCGTACAACATCATATGGATATGCTAACATCCGATAAAAATAATATAAAACTGTGGGAACGACGTTTGCACATTGCCATTCAGGTAAACAACACGATAAAATGGTGAATTATACTTTAAAAACAAGCTCATTCCATTAAATGTTCGTTCTAAATTTTTTAGACGCTAAAAGAATTATTTAAAAATTTGATGGTGTTACAAACGATCCAAAACGAAGACGCAGCTGCACTTTTTAAATTGCTTCTAAACAATGTTTGTTATGTGCTTGAGTTCCGTGAAACGGTGCTTCATACATTGACCAGCTACAATGAAAATCGTAACTCAAAGTAAGTACTACTTGTATTACACGTTTCCGTTTTGTGCATGAGAAAAGCGCACACAGTATTATGCACTTATGCATTTTTTTTCTCTTTTTTTGACATGCTTCCGTTCATTGTTGCCACATGAGCATAGAACATATATGCGAGATGTGGTGGAAACAACACATATTTTTTTCAAGCTGATGGAAAAATTTTGTAATGGAAGCGTTGTTGTTCAAGATAAAAGAAAAGCACGGAACAAAGGTAATAAGAAGAAAAAACCAACAAAATCATCCAGTCACGGTAACGAAGAAGGCGAAGATGAACAAGTAAGTAACAAAGAATATTTTGTAAATTTGCTTTCATTTTTCAATCTTCATCAATAAATTTCAGATTTCACAGATTTTTGAATCAATAAATTTAAGTCGAGTCACTGTAAATGACAAATGATTTATTTTTATTTCAAGAGAAAGACAAGTTAGCTATTTGTTATTTCCTTTCTTTCATTTCTTTACGCTCTATTAACATATTGACATTTTACACGTAGGGGGAAAGTGGGGGCAGAGTGATACAGGAGGCACACTGAAACACCTCACATTTTTCAAATAGCTCAACTCAAAGTTTTAAACTGTTGTTATACAAATTCACTATAAGCAGGCACACATATTGCAAGTGAAATTCAAAAGTGCAGTTGAATTAGAATTGTCAGAATGGAATAAGATTCCATTTTTTTTCTCGTCACAAAATTTAGACTTTTTTAAACTTATTCGCTCAGGTTTCAAAGTAAATATTATTTGCCTTTTTGTCATTTCCTAAATATGCTATTTTTTTAACGGTTTTGTACTATTGGGAAACTATTTACTAATGGCATGAATTTAATTTCCACCAAATCCATATGTTTCATGCAAAAACAAAACTATCTCCTGATATAAACTATGTCCGTACGTGCCAAATTTCATTGATTACTTTCATTTATTGCTATTGTTGAACATTTTGCCCCATAACTTCTTGAAGTTTCAACCGCAACTCAATTTTGGTGAAAAAATATGCAAAATTTGAATCCCTTTGATCTCTAATTATATATGCCACTGCATACAAAGAGTGCGAATGTATTCTGAAGTATAGTAAACCTCTTTCAAATATATTTCAGACGACTGAAGATAAGTGGGCAGTTATTGCATCCGAAATAGCTGCTGTGCTGTCAATGGAATCACCAACATTACCAGAAGAAGAGCACCCACTACCATTCGATGCTGTCTCTGAGAAACCATTAGAGGATCAAAAGTAATGCGTCTTTTTTGTGTTTCTATTCAAACATTCAATTTGGGTATTCTTGTTCTTTTTCTTTTGCACTTTGTTTTGCGCTAATTCGTAAAACGTGACGATTTTGTGAAAATTGTTCATTGCAACTTTTCTCTTTTTCTTCAAATTGTTCGTTTATTTTGTAATTAAATTCCAATTTTAATGTTTTCAGAGACGATTGTATGGTACGAATTCATGGCTATTTACATCAAGGCAAATACGAGCACGCCATCATAATGTTACGTTCAGCAAGGTAAAAAAAGAAGAAAATCAATGTTACGAATATTTTATTTATGTGAGAGAGCGAGTGTGAAAAAAAAACCGTTTAACAAAAATTTACATTCAAATAGGGAAGTGTGGCCGCAAAGCGATTGTTTCGGGTCGGAGAATGCTCAACCGGAAGACGAATTATTGCTTTTGAGGGATGTTTTTATGACCAATTTAAATTCGGGTAAGTGGTACTTACTTTCGTTTGATAAATGATGTGATGAACTTGAACACTACTTACCTTTTTTACATTCCTTCAATCATTTCGTTTCTGAGTTTTTTTTTTCTCGTTTCTTTCGGTCCTGATTGTTGATACTATTACAAAGTTTATGTACTGTTATTTTACAAAGCAAATTGAGAGCCATCAAATGAATTCGGTTGAGTTTTTGCTCGAGTGTTGAGAAATGAATTGCAATAAAACAAATGGAACATATCTTCTTACATTCTTATCGTATTTTATTACCGAAATTTTCTTACAATTTAATGAGAATTTGGCATTCAACTTGTCTCGCATTTGGATAAAATAATACATAGAATTTGCGATGTTTGTTTTTTTGTTCGTCTTCTTGTTTAGGCCCAATGTAAAATGTTTGGTATATTCAACTTGACGAACTCAATTAAGATGTATTTTGGCAGTTATACACATACATTTCTGCTAAATCACCATCATCCAAAATGTCACATCTTCAAACAGTTTTCAAACTAAATAGAAACTATTACCAATTACTGTTTGACATGTCATTTAATATTTATTACATTCATTTGAGCAATTTCGTTTAATTTCATCCATTTAAACAACTCGACAAGTTAGTCGGTTACACTTTTATCTTTCAAGTACATTTATCTCTACTGTATAAACTTAAAGGAGAACGATTGAAATAATTTTATGCTTTCGAAAAATCATTGAGAAAATATATAATGCTATGTATACAGTATGCTACATCTCTATTATATATATATAAATAAGATTGGTTTTTCTTTCGACGAGGAACACTATTGTTTCGGTATGCTTCAATTCAAATTAGATGCAACGATTCTAATTTCAGTGCAAATAGAGTTCAACTACATGAATGAAACAATTCGCATAGTAGATAGTTGATTAATTTCACGTTCGTTTGTTGAAGTGCATTTCTTTGTTCGTCTGTTCAATATCATTTTGTTTTAGCTCTCATTCTTCCCCCCATTTATATTTATATATATATATGTATTTGTATATTATTTAATGCTATCGATTGGTTTGACCCTATGTTCTATGCTAATAGTTGATGTGTCACCACAAATCGATTGGTGTATCTGTGTATCGTATTTTTGAGCTTAGCATTTCCATTTGCATGCCAATAAGGAGATTTTGAGATTGTCGTTGGTGCTGTTGTTGGTGGTGCTGTTGAAGCTGTAACTGTTCCATTGATTCGATGCTGTAGCGATGTTGTTGATGTAGATTGTATCGTTTTTTACATCGATACATATGAACAAAATAAAATGTTACAAGCACACTGATTCCAATGCAAATAACAACAAATAAAGCAGAATGGCCAGATGTTGCGCACTTATCATCATACCATTGTTCTGATACAGCAGTGTGTACAGTACTATTGTCATTAATGTTACTACCAATACCTTCTCTATTGTCATATCGATCTTCAGTGTGTGCTTGGACATTGTCATTTGCTGATTGGAGTGTTGTCGTTGGTGTTGTTGGTAGCGATGGTGCTGTTGTAGTAATCGTGACCGTGTCTTGTTCATGCATTGAATGTTCAATGTTGTTGTACCGTTCAAATTGGTGCTCATTATCAATAATAGATACATTTTGCGATATACTGCCAATTAATGGTTTCTCTTTTTCGTTTATTTCCGTCGCGAATGTGGCCGTATTATTGATTTGTTGCATTTGTTCTGTACCACTGCCATCGCTTTCACCACTGCTGTGTTCGTTATCAGCATTTCTGCTATGACTGCGTTCATTGCTATAACCACCACCATCATCACCATCACTTTTACTGTTAATATTCCATGTATTTCCATTGCTATCGATGTCGTTTTTTAAATGTTTTGAGCTCATTGGCTTTAGACTAGCTTTCGTGCTGTCTATTTCTTTTGCCACACGAAAGTTATCCCCTTTGATATTTGTTGATATCACTTTTCCAGTATCATTAGCAAGTTCTTGATGTGCATTTAATATTGGCGATGAAATGGATAACAATTTTCCATCTTCAATGTGTGCATTTTCTTCGTGATGTTTTTGTTGATGCTGCAATTCAATTGCATTCGAATTTTTAATGTTTTGTTGATTTTGGTTTGTTTCATTTTTACGCAATTGAGGTGTATTTGTTTCATTATTGCTAACATAGTTACTGCTTTTATGTTGATAGTCATTGTTATTTCTGTCATTAATTAACATGCCATTTTTGGCAAAAGAATTTGAATAAACCATCACTTTCGTTGTAATTTTGTTCAATGGTGTTTGTTTTGTCGTTGTTGTCGCAACGACTATTTTGTTTATCAAAGTAGATGCTGCCACTGTTTTTTGTTGGCTATATTGGTCGTGTGGTTGTTTCTTGAAAATTTCACGTGACATTGTATCGTCGTTTACCGTACGGTGTTGCTGTTGCTGCTCTGCATCCACTTGATTTCCCTCCGTCGTCAGTTGGTTTTTATTGATTTCATTAATGTGAATGCTGCTTTCTGCCATATTACTGCTACTGGAACTGTTCCCTCGATTTCTCCAGACTGATATCGAAAGATTTTTGTTCGTTAGTTGTTGTTGTTGTTTTTGGTAGTGGTGCTGCTGTGCAATGCTTGCCATATCATTTGTTGTGCTAATCGCTTTATTTATATTCCAATTTACTTCGGACTTGTTCTCTTTATGGTCACTATCATTGGATTTGGGGTGTCGATTCAGTTGTTCTTGTTCGTAATTTATCGCAATATTGCCGTCATCACTGGATGTCAATGGCGACGACAGCACCGATGAATCTACGGAATTTTCTGTTGTGGATTCATGTGATGAAGCAACTGTTGTTACTCCCGAAATGAATTCGGTAATGGTAGTGGTGGTGGTGGTGGTGGTGATGGTGGCGATATGTGCTTGTGCAACCATTTGTGGTGTCACTAAATTGGTTGTGTTCAAATCCTCAAATTTATCATACCGACTGGATATTGTTTTTATGTCATAACGCGTTTCATTTTGATTAGTTTCATGTAAGCTTATTGGATGTTGATGCAACATTTTGGCATTTTGGTTACTCAAATTATCCGTTGTTACATTGCTTTTGTTTGGCACAATTGTCATCAGATTTGCCACTTTTAGCATAAAAGTATTGTCAGTCGTATTTAAATTATCATTCGTTATGATATTTTCATTAAATTGCTGTTGTTTGAGATCTCTTTGTGTCGTTAATTTTAACGATATCAGATTATCATCAGTTGGTACAATCGTTGTGCCAGTATTAATGGGCAATTCAATGGTTGAATGGGGAACGTGTTTTGGCTGTATTGTATCTTCTTTTCCGGTTGTTGAGATCAATTGAATGTCATGATCAATCGATAAACTTGTATCATTCATTCGTACGAAGTTTTGTTCATTCAATAATTTGACATTATTTATCTGATTGTCATAAATTCTTGGATTCATTGTGATAATATTATCATCTTGCATCGAATCAACATTCAACGATATTACCGTAGTTTCTTTTGACTTTTCTTTTGGTTCATTTAATTTACCATCGTTTGCCGTGGTTGTGTGCTCTATATTCGATGTTTCGTTCATTCTTGTACGTTTCGCAGTGTTTAAATGTTTGCGGTTACAATGTAATTTATCTATCTGCACTGAATAATCAAATGATCGACATGACAATTTACATTGGCATTGTTTTGGTAAAAGTTTGTAATTATTTACGGTATCATCGTCATCTTCATTAGTCGAAATTTCATTATTCGTTGGTTCATCGTTATCATCATCTGAGTAGCTAACCTCAAAGGAATCATCGTTGATGCGACATGGTGTTGCCCATTCGGCAACCGCTTGTAGTTCGGTACATTTTATTGGATTCTCATCTAAAAATAACACTTTCAATCTTGGTGACATTTTGATAATCGATTGACTTAATCGTTTGAGACGCGACGACCGTAAATCTAATAATAGAAGCTTTGGTAAAGGTAAACTTGGTAAATATGTTATTTGATTGCCCGATAAGTTAACCACTTCTAAATTGACAAGATGTGAAAATGCGGAAGCTTGAATTTCAGCAATTCGATTGTTTTGCAGAAATAACCGCACCAAATTCACTGGAAGACTTGATGGAACGTGTGCTATGTTGTTGTTATTTAAATGAAGTGAAACCAAAAGGTCCAAACGACCAAGTGCATCGTCTTCAATATCAAATATTTGACACGACGACACATCTAACTCCTGAAGTAATGGATAACTGTCCAAATCACCGCATCGAATAACCTAAAGCAAATAAATATTAGACACAAAATTTATTATTTTAAACTTTATGTTTTGGTTGAATCAATGCCTTACTATGTATATGAATATGTTGTATTTTAAAGAAGAGCTGAGAAGGGAAATGAAGTAAAAATAGTTTAATTACCGCAAAATTATTGTTGGATATGTTGAGAGTGTGAACGGATTGGGCTAGTGCATTTGGTATTTCGCATAGACCAGTGCCGCTCATGTTAACCTCGTTTAGACTCCATGATGAAATGAATTCTTGTAATGCGCCCCCAAGTTTTGTATTAAATGCAATGGATAATTTAATCAAATTTGGTATCCCTTGCAGAGCACGTAATGATGATGTTTCAATTTGATTATAAGATAGGTCAAGATATTGCAATTTCATGAGATGTGAAAAACTATCGTTCTCAATGAACGATATCTGATTATATGACATGTCAAGACTCTCAATATTGTTTAAATCTCGGAAAATGTTGTTGTTTATGCTTTTTAACCGATTATACGATAAATTGATGACTTTTAGTTTTATCAATTTCTGAAATACATGTTGTTGGATTATATTAAGTCGATTACCAGATAGATTTACATACTCCAGTTCATTTAATTCATTTAAATGAATTTCTGATGAGCTTTGAATATGGTTACACGACAAATCTAAAAACTTTAAAATTGCCATTGATTTCCCATTAAACGATACCAACTGGTTATCCGATACGCTTAACCATTTGATTTTATTGTTGTTCGACATGCTCACATTGAATACATTGATTTGATTTTGTGATAAATCCAAACGACGCACATTTTCAAGTGATTTGAGTACATTATCTTCGATTTCCTTGATACCGTTACCGGATAAATTTAATACTAAAATATTATGTATCGACTTTTGATTCAGCACCAACAACATATTCAAATTTACAAAACTTAGAATCTCTGGTATTTGTTTGTTATGTGAAAAATTCATAATATTTGTACTATTGTTTGGGTCATCTCGTATTGGTGCTGCATCTGTCGCTGCTGCTGTTGTTGGTGGTGGTAGTGTTGGTCGTACTATTATTTTGTCCTGTCCACTTGATTGTGATATTTTGGTTACTGTTGTTTTTGTTTTCCGTTTAACACGATACTTGAATATACCGCTATTGATTTTCTGCCATCGAGATGTCTCGTTTTGATGAATGTATGGTGTATGGTACAAAACCTGTCTAATGCTTCTAAATCTATTGTTCATATTATTATTATTATTGGCATTGGTATATATGTTGGATATTTGCTTATTATTGTACACAAACTTTGGTGTATCATTGTTGAATGCATTCACTCGTATTATTATACTTGTCAGTGTAAGTATGAATAATACCAAAATATCTGTTCGCATTAAGCATTTCGAACAGTGAAACAGGCTCATGATCATTGTTCCATTCATTTTGAGACGCTTAAATATGAAACGATTATTCAATGGAATTTGGTTGCGAACTCAAGGAGATCGATTGTAGTCTACATTGTTTCTTATAGAAGAATCTATCACAAGTGCAACAAGTTGATACATCTCCAATGTTCTTGATTCTTAATTTGATATTATGGATGTGATTTTTCTTGGATTTTCTTCTTCCTCTTCTTAAATTTTTTTCTTCTAAAGTTGACGTTCAGTCAAACGACACATTTTTTTTATATAAATGTGATATTTCTCATGACCGGAGATTAGTTACATATTCCCCCCGCCATAAAGATTACTTATATTCTTCGCTCATATTGCTAACATTTGCAATTCCAATCATTTCCTCAATTCGCTTATGCTCGTACAATCGTTATTGGATATTTTATGTGCATGGGATTGATTTTATATTATATATCATATTCATTTTCATTCCATACATCATCATAGATTAAACGTTTTTATTAAATTCCATCGTCCATTATTTCGACATTATTGATTGATAACAATCTATTGTCACATTTCAAAAATTAAGCGATTATTATATCGTCGTTATTGATCGCTGGAAAAAAAGAGAGAAAAATACAGATAGGAAAAATACGTACGTAAATATTAAAATCGTTTAAAAATAAAATATATATTGTATGGAGTAGAGAATTTTTTTTATATGGATAGATATTGTATATATATATCAGAAACGGAAAACATTGTACGAGTAACGAGATTTGCGGTGGCTGTGGTGGACGAGAAAGAGAAAGGTTGTGTGCATTTTCTATTCGACTGATTATATTAATTGTTCGTACATGCGGAAAATTAAAATGAGTTGACAGGAAAATAAAAACGGGAAGAAGACAGAATGAAGTGGCACAGGTATAAACTCGAATACAGCCCAAGGATGGAATTAAATCATGGGGAAAGGAAACTAACACAAAACTATAATAATAATAATCAAAACTCCGAAAGTTTTCTTGATTATGTGGTTTGATGGAAAACTACGGACGACTTGATATAATACTTTAAATGGTGTGTATGATTTTAAGGTTTTCAAAATTAAATTGACTTTAAATGTGCATGTATAGTTTCTTTTTTTTTCGAAGTTTCAAGATTTTCCGAGTCACATCTGCACCCTCTTTTTCTACACTGAAAATTACTCTTGAAATTCCATTTTAAGTGCGTATAAACGTCATATTACTTTAACAACTTACAATCATGTTTTATATTCTCCAAGCCTTTTTCCTCTCACGCCAAAATGGGTAAATTTTCCAGATTATATTTTGTCATGTATCAAATAATGTAGTTATATATATAAATATATAGCTCGAAGCATGGTGCATAATATCTTTGGAATATACACGCATACACGCACTCAATTCTTTCGCATTGTTTTGTCTTTGAGTGTGAGTGTTGATTTTGCAACCGCTCCGGCACTTCTTCACTTGTTTACTTTATTTAATTAACGACTGACTGTGACAAGCGAATCATCTTTTGCGACATTTGTACGATTCATTTAAATATTGTTTTTTTTTTTTTCACTCTTGTCTTTGAATAGACATAAACATTGAATGCGAAAGGACGCAAAAAAATGAAAATAATTCAGTTTATAATCGCACTGTTTTCGCGTGTTGATGTATCACATCCATTTAACTTTTGAATGGCTTTTTTTCTTCTTTTGTTCGCACACCATGAAAATCAAAAGTTTATCCATTTACAATCTGTGTGTTATTTTTTTTTTTCTTTTACACAGACACCACAATTCAATATAATAGATGGAATTTGTAGAATATAAAAGTCATTTTATTGGCATTTCTTTATTGTTTCGGTTAACAAAATAATATTGAACTTTCTCTATCTGAATAAACTGCTCAAAAGAAGATAAACACACATTGAATGTTTGTTTCTTTAAAAAAACTGATTGCAACGCACACAACACATTATTGTGTCCATACAACTTCGCATCCAAGTTAAGACTGGGAATTTTATCCAATGTGATGTACGCGACACTCGGTTTGGCTATATTGTTCAGCTGAACCATTTAAAATAGAACCTAATGAGTATGTAGCTATCTCTATACCCAAACAGTACAATGACATTTTGCATTCAGCCACAATCTCTTTAGCAAATTTTATTTGTTGGAAAATCAGTATGGAATGCTATAGTAGAGTGTAAGAGTGAATAATAACATTGAAAGCTAAGGGAACACCAACATTTGTCGATCGAACCGCACCGAAGGGATGAAAGAGATAGAGAAAAACCAAGATGTGGAAATGACATGCGCACTGTGTACATTCTTATGAAATTTCATTGCATTTTCCCTTTTTGATAGATGGCCATCAAATATCGTTTTTCCAACATTTCCTAGATCCCAGATTCCCAAAAGCAGTGCGTCTCAGTCAATACTTTTTGTGTGTTATAAGTTGATAAAAAAACTACAACGCGAGCACAGAGCGACATAGTGCGTTTTGGGTGCTTCTTTTTCGGTCCATCACACTTCGATCTGTATAAAATATACGTATAAATACGATGCTTATTTTCACCATGCTATCATGTCAACACTGCATATTCATGTTTATTTTATTGCAATAGTTCAACTCTTTTGTTCGCAATTTTGCTTATCGCTTCGTTTCCATGCGGCCATTCAGTCAGCCACCCCAAAATAGTCATTCAGTATATGTGTATAGTGTATGCTGTGCTTTCTCCCCCATGCACGTACATTTCTTCTATTTTTTTTTTCTTCGCTTCGTTTCGATTCTCATTACTTATTCTATGAATGAAATTCGCGTGTCACGTAACTTCAGCTTCTACATGTCAGAGTGGATGATGTTTCGTCAAAAGAAAAAAAAAGAGAATAAAAATCTTCGCTCTTCGTCGTCGTTTGCATCATTTTCCTTTTTCTCTTTCGCTTTTTTCTGGCATTTCATTTTATATTGACTTTGGGCGCTATAAAATTCAACAATAAGATAGACAAGCACAAAGTCACACAGAGCGGCTGTTAAAAATATATAGGGAGAAATTTGTGAATGCCTATTCATTTTTGGGGAGCTTAACATTTGTCCTAGCAATTTAATGTGAAATTCTTTTTAAACCATAATTACACTGTTCCGAAGTTAGCTAATCACATCGAGATTTATTTTAGTATTTTACAGCTATAAAATTAAATTGAAAACTTAAAGCTTCCCTCGTTATTTTGCATGCGACGCAACTTCATCAAAAGCAATATACACGCATTCTAAATCACTGTGCGTTTTATTATTATTATTATTTCATCTCTTGGATGGAGAGAATGAGGAAAATGTTTGTGTACGTATAAATCTGTATGGATGCGAACCGCCTTTCTATTTACGCTACGTTATCTAAATCGAGATATGTAGCAGTATGTCATTCTGGTTAAGAGAAAACCATCAGATAGGAGATTGTATTGTTCTTACGGGTCTATGATTTCTATTATGTTTTGCCACTTGTAGAACGCATTGTTTGTGATGTAAAGAGTGTTTTCTTATGGAGGCTGTGTGCCGCTTTTAATGTTTTTTTTTTCTCTATCTCTCGCTATTTTGGAATGCTTCTAAAGAAGCACATGCGCAAATAATGACCATATAGGTATAACTATAAACAAATTTGAATGCAAAATACTATAGAATTATGTCGCTGAATCGAAGGGTTGCCGATATCGGTAAATTCAATGGATATAGCATGAGCTATTTGTCTGTATATCAACATTTTTCAAATATTTGTGATGCTCGGTTAATTTTCAACCCATAAATGTGTGCAATCGCTCTGCAAACTGCCAAATGAAATTTATCACCAAAAAATGCCGTTATATTTTCACATTTTTGTACACATCAAACACAAATTCATACATATAGGTATGTATGCTATCATCATTTGCAATCCCTTTCTAAGCCCAAAATGCTCCCACAAAGGTGTCACTTTTCTAAATATGACAAAAACTTGACGTTGATCAGGTATAATGGAATCTAAGACATTTTGAATGAATTGTCAACGCACACACACATTTATATATATAAAAAATGCCATTATGCCGATTGATAAAACGTTTGACACATAAGTGTATATAGTTGGATGGTGTACGGAATACAAAATACGAACATGGCTGGGATATTGCTCCCTTTTATTCCCTAGGTTTAGGTTTTCAGACTCATTATATTGCATGCCTTGTTCCATACATATTTCAGCGAAACGGCGTATTTTCAAATAACCGCTGAGGGAAGTAGTGGCTAAAGACGAGGCGACGACGACGATGAAAAAAAAAACATTAATAAAAGAGATCACATAAAAAATTGTGTGTATGTGTGTGTGTGTTACGCTCTCCGTGTATTCGCACATCAAGGAAGGTGGTGGAGAAATTTTCCGGAAACCTAAATGACGCTTGGTCACACGTGAGCCTGAAAAGTATTCTACGTGTCATAATCGCATTTTCGCCGAAAAAAAAATGCGAACAGAAAAGAATAACGATAGACGAGCGACGTGTGTATACTGGCATTAGCAACAGATGGAGAGAAAAAATATCAAAATAATGCACATATGAAACATATAGATATATAGGGATATAAAATCCATCTTCGTTCATCTTATCATTCTTTTGTTTGTTTGTTTTGAATTCTTTATAGATGCCTTTGATTAGATGCAGCAACTTTTGAAAGCCCTTCTTAGTCCATATCTATAACACTCTATCATTTCCCAACGCAATAGACGAGTATCATTTTGTATGTGTGTGCGCGTCGAACGGTGTATGAATGTTTTGAACGATATCACGACGTTATCTGAATAGCAAATTCTAAACATATCTTCAGTTGCGTAAACTTGTTGAGAAATTTAATAATAGTAAATTGCGTCCGATTCAAAAAAGATGTGGAGGAATGAATGAATAGAATAAGATGAGAAAAAATTGAAATATGAAGACAAAATCTCAAAGTATCTTTAACTTGTGTACATTTTTTTTATTACAGGCAACATTGAATCAAATGATAACACCAACGCCGAAAACGGAACTGCCTCTGACGTTGACAACGATGACGATGAAAGCGATGAAAGTGATGAAGGTAAATATTTTATTCAGTCATGCTACCTCATAAATCGAATTTAGCTAAACATAATCATTGATCGAATAACTTAAAAATTCGTTTATGTGAGCGAGCGAGTAAGCGAGCGAGCAAACGAGTGATAAAGAAAAGGATAGATAGGAAAAAAGAGAAAGAAAAACACACCTCGTTTGATCTGAAATCATCTTTAATGGTTGGTCGATGATTTTTTGTTGTTATTGTTGTTTAATCTGGCCATTTTGGCGAATATGAGTTTAATATGCAGATTTTTCAATAATAATTAAGTAGCGCCGTTAAATTAATTTATACCATGATTTTGAAGCAAAATGATCTTTATTTCAGCATTATAAAATCATAAATGAGTTTATTTAATTTAACATTGCAATATTAATGGAATGAATACATTTTCAGATCCTCGAAATGCTGAAGTTGAATTTCGTTTTGATGACTTTTTGAAGAGGTAAAATGGAATTTTATGTGTGTTCAAATAAACATGACGCATCCTTTACTTGCGTGCTTTCCATATCGTTTAGTGCTAATATTACATCTTCTTTTTTTTCTCTTTCATCATCCGTTGCTTTCTGTTTTGCATATTAAATATATGCTTCAAACATTTTTATTCAAATTCGTCACATCTATTTACAGATTGGTCAATCAAAAAGTTGTGCAGGCATGTACAGTTGTATTAACAGATTGGGAACGGTTACCGGCACGTACAATCAAAAGCGCTGTTACACTGTTGCATCGAATCGCGTTCGGCAGTAAAGTTCCAATTATGCTATTTCAGGTATATTCATATGGATGAACAGATTTAACTGTTAAACTAAAATCATCGTCAAAACCCATTAATATATCTTGAGCGCGCAAAGAAAAAGAAATTATCATAACGATGGAAAAAAAATTCATGAAGATTATTTTTGGATGTTTTGTCACAGGTATCACTATTTAGAATATTCCAGCAAGTATTTGAGGCGCCAAGAGATGTTCGTCACGACGAAATACGTCGTTTAGGTGTTTATATAATGCGTTGTTTCACTGAAATTGCTAAAACCAATCCAAAAGTGTATGCCGAACTATTCTTCTATAAAAGTCTTCGAGAAGCCAATGACATCGAGTACGGCTATGATGACGCGCGCTTTGTCAATGCGTACGTATTTTCGAAAGAAAAAAAAACGATCGATTTGATCACATTTTAATGGAGCACATTTTATTTATTTTATAGAAAGAGCAAAAAAACTGGCTGGAGCGAAGAGCAAGAAGACGAACTTCGTCAATTGTTTGAAGAGAATCAAACCAATCCATCAACTGAAAAAGGTAGCATTAAAGTGACATAATAATATGATTGCGGTTGTTTAACAAATGTTTTATTTTTCATTGACCTCTCGGATATTTCAAACGACCGAAAATAGATGTCATCGACTGGATATTGGATAATCTCATCGAAAAGAGTCGAACTCGACGTGCAGTTATCAAGAAAATGAAAGAGCTTGGACTCATATTTAAGGCACCAACACGAAAATCGGTTGCATCAGCCGTTTCAAAACACTTGTGGCGACACGAAGAAGATAATCTTTTGCGCGAACTCTATGATACACATCGCTTGGAAGACGGTTAGTTTTGAAATGTGTAAAAACGAATTTATGAAAAGAAAAGATGTAATTTTTTTTATGCATTTTAACATAGATTGCCTGACAAAAATTATGGACACGTTTGTTGATAAGCGATCAAAGAATGCTATCATTAAGCGTATGATTGAAATCGGTCTCATTGCTGAACGGTCGGAAATATTACCAACTAAACGAAAGAAATCGCACAAAAGTCAAGCGGCGAACAGAGAAAACGGTAGTAGTGAGAGTGGCAGTGACAACAGTGACAGCGATGATGATGATGCTCTTGACACCCGTCCAGTCAGAGTTACCATTAAGAATACAAAGAAATCCAAAGCACCAAAGCAAAAGCAACAACCAGTTCGAAAATTACAAACAATCACATTAAACGTCACTGAAATTCAGCAAAACATTACCGAGATGGACGAAAGTCTAAAAATACATTTCGATTGGTTGCAAGAATCATTGAACGATGCAGCTGAAGATGTCGATGACATTGATGATTTATCGGATCCAAGCGATGGTGTGCCAATCGTTCCTTTTTCATCGGCACAACGGGAAGCATTAGAAAATTCACAGTTTAAACAACTTTTGCAAGTGTTGGGATTACAAGAGCCCATTAAAGAAATGGTAAATAATAATTCAATATTTCAGTTTTTTTATGCTTATGAAATATTTTGAATGTCGATTTTCAGGAAACTTACTGGCGCATTCCAGTGAATATGTCGGCCAAAGATATGCGTTCAGCAGCAAAGCTACTGGCCGGCGAACCAATAGAATTATTTGATGAGCGCGCGAATGATGGCGACGATTTTGATCGTTTGCACGTATCCGATTCGGATGAAAGTTTCAGTGAAATTGCACGAGACCGACAAAGACAGCAAAGACTCATTTACAATGATAGTGACAATGATGATGAACAACGAGTCGCTTTGCAGCCAAAACCAGCAAAGAAATCGAAAAAAGGCATTCATTTATTTGATATGATTAAAGATGGAACTGAAATGGTTCAAAGCGAAGATGAAGATAACCAAAATAATGATGACGATGCAAATAACTTTGGTGCTCCCGAATCAGAGGAATTCAATTCACAAGTCATTCGAAGACGTTTGGCGCAATTGGAAGACAGTGATTCAGACAGTGAAATAGGTATTTTCCATCTTTTTGTGGATTTTTTCTTATTCTCTCTTTTCAATAAATCGAATCTTTTGATATTATTGTTTTCGCAGGAAATGGTGTATCCGCTAAAATGCTAAACACCGATGATGAAAATGAAAAAGAAAATGAAGAAGGGGGGACCAATTCGAACAAACGCGAGCGTTCTGTTCCAGAGGAAATGACCACGTTAAGCGACGATGATGAAGAACCCATAATGGTTCCACAAAAGAAAAAAGCCAGAATGTCAATCATCGATGATGATGACGATGATGATTGAAAACGTTTCACCGAAAATTTACCAACTAAAATAAATAACTGAAACTTTAACATTAGATGAGAGAAAAGAACGGAGTTTTCGCTTTCTTAGTTTTTATATTTGTTTCAACATATCAATTTCAATAAAAAATAAATTCTAGATAATCAAATATTTGATACAAATATTTGCGAGCGGCAATTTTGATTTGGGTGTGTGCGTGTGTGTGAGTGTGTGTGTGTGTGTGTATGTTTGTGTGTGTGGCGTGCGTGGGTTTTTTGTGTGTGTATGTATGTGTGTGTTTGTGTTGAAATGGATGTGAAAATGCTATTTGGAAATTCTGTTATATATCCACTTGTCTAATTTGGAAAAAGGTTAAGAGCGAGTTGATTGCACCGTTGTTTTTCTTTTTTTAAATTGATTTTTTTCTTGTTTCTAATATTTTTGTTTGTCAAATAACCATCATCAATCTTGTCCTCGTTCGATTTTGATGAACCAGCATCAATACTATTGGCTTACATCTTACATTTGACTACTTAAGATCTGTGTGATTTTTGTTTTCTATCGTTATTTCGTCGTCCAGATATATATGTTTTTTGTTGTTGTCTACTATGACTTAAGAAAAGGTAAGTATACCTTGATAATGCGCGTACTAATGAGATTTTCAATTACAATTGGTCCCATAAATCTGACTCATTTGGTTCATGTGGATATGTAATCATTGTTTTTTTTTTCTTTGACTTTTTTTTCGATTGATTAGTTGCGACTTTTGATATCATTTTCGATTTGTTTGTTTGTTTGTTTAATCTACTACATTCTAAAAAAATATATGATAATATGCAAACGAGTGATAATGAAATTATAAAAAAAAAGTAGTTGTTTGTTGTTGCTTCAACTAAGAGATATAAACTAGATAATAATTTGCGATTTGAGCGAAATTTTCGAAATGCAATGAAAAGTTGTCGCGATTTGTTATGGGAACGTTAAAAAGAAGACTATTTTAAAATTAGATTACATAAAATCGAAATGTTTTTTTTTTCTATCCAAAGTACGCTGACCAATCATAGCTGTGTTGATTGCTAGTGGTAGAGCCGCTAGTACTGATGCTTGGTGTATATGTGTATGATGTTGCCGCTGATGGATAAGCCCGATTGTAAGCAGCCAGAGCCAATTGATAGTTATGTTGAGCTTGTTCGTACGATTGATTTGGATTTTGATAAACTTGCAATGCTTGTTGGTATGCTTGAATGGCAGTTGTTTGTGGTTGTTGGTATGTTGTATAGGTTGGACGAGCTTGAACTGGTTGATAAACGGTTGGATTGATACGTTCAGTTTTGATGGTGTAGGTATTTTGTGTGATAACTTGATTGTTTGTGTAAACAGTTTGTGTGCTAACGCATAATCCTGAGTATTTTGATGATGGATACATGCCATGATTTGAGCACGATGGCGCACCAACTGCGTACGGTTGATGTCCAACAACATTACCACTGTAAGGTAGAAAATTATGAAATTCATTACATTTTAATTCACATGCCAGAATTTGAAAGAATCTTAACAATTTTTAATAGATTCAACTTACCCTGGACCATAGTTGCATACCCACAGCTTATTAAATCGAGCTCCTTCTTGATAGTATGAAAAACCGCATCCAACTAAGTTTGTATCACCCCAGACCAACTGAAAATTAATTGATAACAAATGTGTTGGGATTTTGTTTTAACGTTTAAATGAATCGATAAGACATACTTGTGAATAATGACCAGTTTTTGGTGACCATCTATCGCCCCATGCATACTTTTGAACTTCATTAAACCAATTTTGAATACGCGACGAAAATGTAACGTAATTGGTAAGTGGGGCTGTACTCCAGACGATTGCCAAATTTTGTCCCATTGTGAATCGGTCTATTAAGTAGAAAAAGAAGAGAAAAAAAATGAATGAATGATATATATTGTATATAAGTGAGAGAATCGAAGAAAAAAAATTTACTTGTGTATCGGCTTGGATCGTGTTCAAAATAACATTCGTTGGCCCATTGTTGTGCTCTTAACGCAAGTTCATCATCCCATTGCATTTCCCGCATATTTTGTGCGCTCGGTTGACCTGCAATTTGACCTTGTGCAACCTGTGATCGTAGTCGATTATGTGTATCAAGAATCTCATACTTTTGGGCTTCGGTTATTCCGGTCGCTGCACAAATGAAAGTGAGAAAAAAAAACAAAGATTTTTTTTTTAGTTCATTTAGTTTAATTAGTTTCATTTGCATATATCCATTATGGTTATAATCATGAGATAACAAAAATCAACAAAAGATGAACGAACACACAAAAGCATGCTTTGAATAATCAAAGACACATCGATCATGATGAATTGAGTCATCGTTTACCTTATTTAATACCGTATATACTATATATAGTGCTTGGCCTAGAACTTGAGTTTCGATGCTCTTTCAATAAATCAACACATTAGACACATTGATCATATAGGAAGGTTGAACGTTTTAATGATGAAAAAATACAGTGAATAATGCCATCGATAACAGTTTAAGGAATGAGATATTCTAAATATTTATTTTGTGCCAATTGGATATTTTGGATAAAATGCTTGCACATCGCATTTGTTTTAGCTATTTAAATAAAGGGAAAAAACAATTTGTGCCTACAGTTTTTATGCAAATTATGTGGAACATTTAAATTGGCTACGATCGAAATGATGGACAATTATACGGTAAAATGAATTTCAAGGCGAGTGAAATGTGTTGCCAATTCATAAATGACCAAAGTCAATTGAAAGCCATCTCATATAGTCGGTTCAAAAGCAAATCGAACTGACTCTTTTGAGTTTAATACTCGTTGAAAATTTGTAAAATACATTTTCGGTAAATGTTTATTTATGATCTATTCAAAAATGGTTTTATGGATAATCAAATAGTATTAGATCGTTCGTCTACGCTCATCATGTCATGTTGTTGTTGTTGCTTTTTTTCTCTTCTCTGTATTCGTCATCGTGCGCGGATTATCGCATCGTTCGCATGCAAAGAGTTTATGATGATGATGTTTTCTTTTTATTATCAAAATGTCCAATTTTACGATCGAAACACACACCGGTTGTATTTTTATGATCGACCGATCTCTGTACTAAAATCTATATTAAATCATAACACAATGAAAATTATAATCAGACAAGTCTCAACATTTATGGACTTCATAAACACTTTTCTAACAGTCTATTAGAGCGTGAGACAGACAGACACATAGTGAGAAAAATAAATAAATAAATAAATATACAAATTCTAAACCGGTAGAAGTTGGAAACAGAAAAACAGAATCGAAAAAAGGTTATCAAGATTTTTAATAGGGCCATGGAGCACCGGTCATGTACTAGAAATTCGTCAAATACAAAGTGCGATCGTGGCGAAAAATCAATATACACACTCACATATGTTCACACGATAACATGTATGTGACCATGAACTTAACTTTGGGAAAAAAAAAATTTTAGTCATAGATTTTGGCTACGGATTATAAAAACATAAACCGATCAAACGTTGCCAATAAAAATAAAATAGCCAGAAACATATTTCTCTAAAATCTCTCTTCCTCTATCTCTCTTTCACTCACTTTTTGTTTGTCTATAGAATGATGGAGTTTCCGTAGAATCATCAAGATTGACTGATAAAGTCTACATTTGACTATGATTATGATAATTGGCAATTAATATGCGACGAACTATTATATGAAGAATAACTTGTGATTCTGGCATCTAAAGAAATTCGCAATATTCTCGTTATTTGATTGCTTTTGGATAGAAATGAAGAGAACGATAGAAAATAACTTTTATGACGTATGTTCATCAAATAGACGGGCACACATTCAAATTCACATGCATTATGCTGGCCAATTTTTCGATTTCCTCCTGCCTTTTTCTTCTTTTCTATTCTGTCTTAATATATCAAGTATTTCAATGTCTCTTTCTCGCATTGATATCGATTTTGGTGTATGTGCTTTTTTGTTCTCCATTTGATTTCGAGCAAAACGAAATAAATGCCAATCGACTTTTTGATCATCGTTTAGTGGAACATGGGCAAATAATTATCGAGTGCCATATAGTCCGTTTCATGTTCACTCTGGCCACGATCGAGAGTGATGAGCTGGTGAACGCACACGTTCGATCCACACATCGATTTTTAGCAAACATAAGTAGTAGGTAAATATGATAATGATCGTTTCGAATTTCGTATATATACAATATGATATAGTCCCACTACAACAGCCATTCTCGGTTAAAAGAGTGTCTTCACTCTCTTGCCATTCGCATGGTAACCAATCCTGAGACACTGATCCATAACTGGAATTTTTTTGTTTGTTACTAAATTTGATGTTTTTGGGATGAAAACAGCAAACGTAAACCATCACATACATACATACACATACACACACATGTGCACGTCTATACATAATTGTCGAAATTTTATATGAAAGACATTCATGAAAATTATCTCTTTTATATTCAGATATATCTCATCGTCAGTGTGACAAACGTTAAGCGATAAATGACATAAATTAGATACCAAAATTGAAGCTAATTTATTTGTTTGTGTCATCAATGAAGAAACAAGCTCATAAATACATTCGAATCAATGATATTAAAACAAACAGCACAATTGATTGCTACTTTTGCAAAGCCAAAACACTGGAACAAGGATCGAACGGAAAGATAAATATATGTACATTAGCACAAATAATTTGCATGAAAATACATTTTGACAACTCGATATTGAAGGCGCGTATAATGTGACGCTTTTGCTATATCAATCAAGCGTAATTCGAAAGTTGATCGTCATTTTAATAAAATAAACACAAACCCGCACACAAAAACACACACACACGACATCGACATTCATTCAAGCTAATCTGAATGCGTGTCGCCTTTTTGCATTGAATGTATGTTTTATATTTCTTTCTATCTCTTTCTCTCTTTCTCTCCGCCGAATATATTAATTGAAATGAAGAGAAAATGTGATCAGATTTAATAGATGGATAATTTATGTTGAAAACGTTAAATAAATCAATATTTTGCGATTGTTTCGTTTTTATTTTTCATTCATTTTCATACGCAAATAAGATCGCACGATCATAAACGCACTTTGACTATAAAAGTCATTGGCCTTGGCCACGAACTTACTTAACTTTTAGAATCGAAACTGCATATTTCATTCGATTTTAGTGAACGAAAAAAGCGGCAGCAGTAATCACAACAACAACAACATCCGATTTCCATTGCTTTACTTTTACACATGCAACACATATTTTGATCGAATAATACCGTAGGAAATGAGAAGCTAAAAATCATGTGATATTATGTGGCGCAAAAAAAAATGTGAAAAACCATAATTATTTTATATATGTTGGGGTACAATACATCAGCGTGTAATCAGCAAGAGTGAAAAGAACAGGCAAAATACTGATGTTCGTCTTTCTACTTGTCGTCTATAGCGCAATCAGAAAGAACAACGATGGTCAGTACACATTTCATACGTAAATACGTAGATGATCAATACATTTGCCATTTTTCTCTGTTTCTCTCTCTCCACCTTATCTTCTTTTTTTTTGCATGTGCGACACCATATAGTACTCACTTTATGGATTTTGGAAACATTGAGTTTTATTTCTTATTGCTGGCCTTGTGCGATCGTCATGAATGTTTGCGTTTTTCATCGTGTGTGTTTTTTCGGTTTTTCTTCTCTCTCTATCTCTCTCACTTTCATTAAGAAATACACAAGTTCAGCTTTCGATCTCATTCGACAAAATGTGCACGCGCGCACGCTCACTGATCGCAATATTAAAATTGTAAGTGCATCGAATGGGAAGAATGATCAGCAGGTTGGCAATTCTTACTTGATTATTGTTCATGCGGTAATTTATTAATGATGTGTATCACACACAACGAGGATTGCATATTTTTGCAAGAAATAAGATAGGATGGTAAAAAACCTTGCCTAAATTCTTATACTGTTTTCTTCCTTTCTCTTCTTACAAGTTGGAATAATCGGTACAGCAAGAATGCAATCAATTTCATAATAACACTGAATCAAAATATGTTGATGTGTTTTCATTTGTATGTTCTTTTCCATTGAACATTTCTTTTTGACTAATTTCTCTTAATTCAACAACAGAACGAAATTTATGATTTACTTACTTATTAAGGAGCCACGGCACAACGATTCTGTCACACCTACAAATGCGGCGGCCACAATAAATAGGCAGATTACTGTAGACTGTCCGTTGAATTTATCCATTTTTTTTTTTTTGAATAAACAAATTTCTTTATTTGATTTATATTCACGATATTTAATTAAATGATGAGCGTCGCCAAATAAAACTGACGGAAATCGTTGCAGTAAATATGTTCGATTTCAGTCGTGAGTTACACACACTGTTTTCTTTTCCTTTTGGATTAAATTTCAGAATTTCCAAAATCACACTGAATCGCAGCCGCCTTCGCCCAAAAAAATGGTATAAAATTGTGTTGCAAAAATTTTCCGTTGATTTTATGTTGATAGGTTTTTTGCTGCCTTTTTTTCTCTGTGTCTCTTGTTGATAAACCAAACTGTATTTTCAAATAATTTGATATTTTCTTTTTTTGTTTTCGTCTCGAGCAAATCCAAAATGAAATTTACTTTAAATCACACTATGATTGAAATTGATTCTAAACCAATGCAAAAACTCGCGATTTTTTTTGTTTTTCTCTCGTTTTTTTGCCCGCCCATGCAAAATGTTCACGAATTTATTTTTTTTTTTTTTTTGTTTTTTTCACTCTGCTCGAAAATTTTAATCCGTTGGCTTAGTTATAGAAGAAGAAAAATTATAATACATCAAAAGTTGCTAAATATCTCAGTTTTTTACGAATTTTTCCATGAAATATGAAAAAGCACAGACTCGATAAAAATTTGTCGGAGCTGTTCTTAAATGTCGTAACAACGAGACATTTAGGCGTCTAATGATGTCGAGAAGTTTTAGACAGTACGCTTTTATAAGCGTCGAAGCTCTAGCACTTCGTTGTAGTTCGCTCACGACATATCAACTACTAGCTATACGAAAATACCGGTCTTTTCATTCTTCTCTTCTCTCCTTCTTTATCTTTTATTATTGTTATTACTGTTATGATTGTCATTATTATTGATATTATTTCTTCTTCCAAATAATCGGTTTGGTCGGTTGTGGCGCGTTTATGTCGTGCTTCTTGTGCATCACCAGAAGAGAGCTATTGGCTTCGAAGTTTTGTACAAATGTGTGAATCAGACATGTTATCATTAAACACACGAATAGCTAAAAAGGTGTATAGATATATTATATTACGAATAAAATACAAATGAAGCAATCTGCAATGTCTGGTGAAAAAAGAAATGATATTATCACCGTTCTCTCCGATTTTGTTGCACGATTATAAAATGTGTATAAACTCGTAAAAAAAAGAAACATTCCCGAAATTTGAGAAGCTTTCAGAACACAATGCAAGACAAAAAAGCACGTATTGTTATTTTATTCTTCTTCATATAAAGTATAATCATGTGAAATATCCATATTCTTTATCTGTTTAGTGGTCTTCACTTTGATCGCTGGCCAACGACATCTTAGACGTGTACCTCTGTGATACATATAGAATCTATATGGGTATATGAAGGAAAAATGGTCAAGTTTGGGATAATCTCTGTCATTGTTTAAAATCTCTTATGTGTCTAGATTATTCATCTTCCTTTTTTATTTTGTTGCTTAAAAGCTTTGAACATTTAAGCGCATTTTAAATGCTGTCCACAATGAACTATTTCATTTTTCGGTGACAGGTGCTCTACAAATGATTCTTTTTTTTTTTTTTTAATTCGCTTTAGTTTTGCTTGGCCTGTCTCTCCCGTATCCCCTCAAATACATTTTCATGTTTATACTTTTGGTTTGCTCTTAGTTTTATTGATACGCTCACATTTGTCTGATCCCCAAACACCGGCATAATAATGGTCTGTTTTGGATATTTGGAAAAACAAATTTACTTCATTTGTTTTGCGTTGCGCGGGTGTATTATTCAACGATTATTTAGTATAAATTACATTATCTTAATGTGTTTTTGATTTAATCAAGCTTATTTGGTTGAAGTAGCACAAGCTTAGATTGAAACAGTGATGAAATTCTCCCAGACAGTATTCCAAGAATTAATTCAATAATTTAGACGACAACAATACAACGATATCATGCATCTTTAAGTTGACGTTTAAACACACAACACACACACATTTAGAAAGATCATAAATTAATGATCCAATTATCATAGAAAATTAAAAATAAAATTATAGCAAACCATTTTCAATTTCCGACGAGCAAATTGTTGCATCTAATCTTCATCTACATCAAGATCTATTTGTTTCCATCCAAAACAGGAATGATAGCCAATTTGGCACTTGGAAACTCATACAAAATGCCAAACAAGTTCAACGTTTAGAGGGGAAAAAACACCATGGAGTTGAGAAAAAGAAATGTAAATGCATGATGAAATGTTAGATATCATGCTGCTTTGATATTCTACATATATGGAGAAAGTTAATTCGTTCATTTTTTATCGCTTGGTGACAGAGCACTAAAATATTGGCCCAAAACGATTGATTATGACGCATTTTCACAACATTTGAATAGAAATTGGTTTGGCAAACAAAAAGAGCAACATTTTGATCAAAGTACTTTGATAAGCTACATATACGTGATTAAATTAAAACAAAAGATAACCAAATTTCAATATATTCATTCGATATCTTTTGTTCTAAGTTTATTGTTCCAATAAAAGAAAAACGTTTTGCACCTATTGTCATTCGTTCAATCGATCAATTTGAAATTTATGGCAGAGGTTAATGATTCAGCTCCAGAGCTGGGAGCAAAGCACAAAACATATGTTCAACTATAATGCAGTTTGATTTCATATTCAGGCATACAACCATTTTCGCAGCTTTCTATTTGGATTCATTTCAGGGCCTGGAGCTTTCCCACTAATACTATTTCCGTAATTCCATTGTCATACAAATTGCAGCTCAATTCATCCCAATTCGGCGCATTTCTTATTTATTTATATGAAATTGGATATTTCTCAGTCACTTAGTGACTTGGGAAAATATTTAATTGACCAATTTCGGCCAAGATTTACTGACAGCATCCAGTACAAAAATCAGCAACAGAATATTTACACTGTCACTACTGTTTACAATAGGCTAGAGATGTGAATGTAGTTTATGTACGTTTGACAGTGAATTTGGCCGCCTGATTGTTAAGGTTACACTGAATGTTTCATTCAAAAATTCTACTTGAAATAGATAGATTTGGTGCGGGTACTAACTAGTGCTCGCATTTCTGCGGTGCCAATAACAGTACGTAAAACCTTCAATATAATTAGTGCCCAACTCTGGCCTTTGCTTCACATATATTGAACACAAGAGCAGCAGAGAAAAGTGTTTTATTGTGGCTTAAGGTAAAAATAGCATGAAAATATAAGGCTAACGTTCGAATGTGATTATCGATTGGTAAGAATTATCAAGCAAAAATCAATGAAAATCTTCGTCATCGTTGTAATCGTCGCCAATAAATGAATGAGAGAGTAAGTCGCAATCGATTGATAACCGGTTTTCAGACTAAATGAGTACAATTTGATGTGTTTTTTTAAATATTGAATCAAAAATACTAATTTTTGAAAGATTTTAGAAATTTGGCTAATACGCGGGTATATTTCTATCTCATTCTTCGTGTTGTTTTTTTTTCGTATTTTTTCCGATGAATTTTTACTGGTTTTTATATTTAGATATAAATTATGCTGATGAGGTTAATGGCAAGATGTTGACGCAAAAATAGAATTGAATCAAAACTGAAGAGTATTCATTGTTTCAAGAGCGTGCAGGCATTTCATTTATGCGATATAAGAAAAATCCATTACCAAAAAAAATTGCTTCAAAAAACTGGTCTCTATTTTAGTTTCAAAATTGAATTGATTTCCACTTGATCGAATTGAATACATTAACTTATATCTTATTGCTAAGATACAGATACACACCATAAAATGATTTTTAACGCCAAGCTAGTTTGTTATAATGAGTAATCTTGTGCATTGCAAAAAAAAATCTTAAACATATGGTTTAAAGTCAAGGTTTGTTCCGGTTACTACCGATACGAAGAGCAGACAGTGCTTATGTGATCAGGTAAATAACGATAGCATATCTTGGTTCGTGTTCATTATTTCTCTGTCTTGTATGTCTGTCTCTTTTTGGCACATCACTCAAATTTTGAAGCATTGTTTTTTTTTCTCTTCGTCCAAAGTTTGGCATCTCTTTTTATGTCAGTACATGTAACTTAATTATGATTTACATTGTATTGCAACGGTGCACAAGTTGACAATACGATGTTAAGCCGTAAATTGTGTGTAGTGCATGTATTTAATTCCTTTTTCTTCTTCTTTTTTCTTCGTTTTATTCATTATCATCGAATGCGAATGCATTGACGAGCATATTTACAGTAAATAAACACAAATCGCATCATCAAATGAGCTGATCATTAATTAAAAATCGATTTTTAGTTTTTCTTTTTTGGTAATTATTTTTCGCTGTATAATAACGGAATCGTCAAGATTACACGTGTTACACTAGCGAACTGATTTAAGCGCAGTGAACTCGCACATTTGCCGTTTCAATTTATACACAAGAAAACGAAAAAGAAAAAGAAGAAGAAGACGATGAAAAAGAAAAAAAAAACGGGTCAATTTTACCAAAAAAGAAAAAAAAATTTATAAACGATCGGTTATGGGTCTTTTATGTTAACAATAAAAAAAAGTGTTCAACATAAAGTATAATAGTTTGCATATTAAATAGATTCATTTCCAATATTTGCACGGACAAAACGGAATATATAAAATGGTTGCTATACTAGCATTTATCAGTTATGGTTTTATAAATATTATACGAAACGTGAATGAAACAAAAAAGTGTGTATGTGAAACAAATCATACATATTCATTGCTATCATCAATCTGTGAAGAACTAACAATAACAAAAGAATTGTGTTCTTGCCATATATTGAAATCAACCGCATTTATGATGACATATGAAGAGCTTTCGGATGCATGGGAATGATGGCAAAAATAAACTAAAACAAAAAATTGCATTCGATTAAACATTTGGGTGACATGTAGTCATCAAATTTAATTCGAAAGTGATATGCATAGATATTCATTATCTTAATGATGACTTTCACTTTGCACGATGATCATTGATCGATCGATCGATCGACCGTTGGCTTAGCAACACACACATCTCTATCACAGAAGCCGATTTGAATGGCCGATAGAATTGATGGAAATATGATGAGTTGATCCGTAATCAACCGATTCGAACAAATTCTTTTGTTAAAATGAATGGAAATATTTCCAAGCGATATCTTTTGCATTCGGTCAATCACATTTTATATGATGGGGTATGATTTGTGTTGATTTTAAAATTTTCGCAGTTGTAAATCCTAAAAATGGATGCTTATGTGCCCAATTAGTCTTACACACACACTGTTCTCTCCGATGACATATAACACGCGTTATATCTATCGATCTATCTATCATCCCATCTCGAATCGACTATATGCAAATTAGTTGTCGGCCTATTCAATTTTACCGAAAAATCACATATACATTTGATTGACTCTATTACCACTTGGTTTCTTCTTAATAGGTTGAAGGTGTACGGTTTAGATTATTTTTGTTTTCTTTTATGCCATAAAATAAATGATGATTTAAAAGCCAAGTTCTCATCGTACGCAAATCCAAAAGGTTCACCAGTCATTTGACCATATTTTGAACAAGTTTACTCGGAAGACTGATGGTTCACATTGTGTGTTTATCATAATATTGGCCATAGCATTTTTGGGAGATTTGTTTTTTTTTTGTTTTTTTTAAAATAAATTTGACACAAAAAGACACGCACCGGTTACACACTATGA